TAATCCAACAAGATTCCTCAAGGTTGAATCCTAAAGTCATTAAGCTCAAAACATGATTCCTCAATGTTTTGAGTCTAACACTTCGCATTAAGAACAATAACTTGAACAATGTGACTAACCAAATCAAGTCTATTCCTAGAACAAGAAATGATTAGGTGCAAGATTCAGTTCGGGTTTTCGAAAATGTTTTCCAACTGGATTCAAAAGCCAAAAATCATACAACGGTTGATCAAGCCGATATAAGCGTTAAGCGAAGAATCAATACACAAATAATGAGATCAAAATGCATATATTTAAGAAGAAGAGGAGTTAGTAGTTACATCCAACCAATCCTTAAGAGGTTTAGCCACCCATGACCATTACAGAATCAAAGAGTGAAAAGAAGAAATTACAAAGCAAAGGATGAAGAAATGGAGTTGATCTTCGTTCCCAAAGGATCCAGCTTCCAAGTCTCTCTTCTTCCTTCCTTCTTCCTTCTTCACAAGTTTTTCCCCTATTTTTCTCTGTTAAATTCGTGCTCTGTATATCCCCCTTTGGTTATCCTCCTTTTTCCCTTTTATATCAGCTCTAAAACTGGGCAAAAAGTGATATTTTTAACTCCACTGCTGCAGCTGTAGAACCACAGCTATGGCTATGGAGAATCCTTCAAGGTGAAGCAACTTCTGGTGCTGTAGCTGTAGCTCTGCAGCCATGGCTGTGGAAACTCCTTCATGATTAAGCAACTCCCTGAGCTGTAGCTGTGAAACCACAACTATGGCTGTGAGTCTCTGTGGCTTCCCTTGATCTTCCAAGCCTCAACGCTCAAGCTTTGGACCCTGTAGCTGTAGCTTCAAGTCTCTGGAACCAAAAATGAGCATTCCAGATTTTTACAGCTATAACTGCAGAACCACAGCTATAGCTGCAAGTCTCTAGACCTCTATATCCTTCCCAGACTTCCACAGCTCGAGCTCCAGATCCACAGCTATGGCTGTGGATCTCTGCTTAGCCAAAAATCCTGCAAAAAATGAGAAAATTCCTTAAGATTGCTACTACTCCTCTACTCTTATAGTATGACTTAATTCTATAAATTAAAGGGGTGAAATAACATATATATTATCTACAATTGTAGAAAAAGATTGCCAAAAGTTGAGTGCGAAACATACAAAAAAAAGACACTCAACACTTATGCGCATTCTCAATAGAATGACATACTACCAGAGTTTGGTTAAGATAGTTAAGTTGCGCAAGATACATCTTATAGAATTAAGTCATACTATAAGAGTAGAGGAGTAGTAGCAATCTTAAGGAATTTTCTCATTTTTTGCAGGATTTTTGGCTAAGCAGAGATCCACAGCCATAGCTGTGGATCTGGAGCTCGAGCTGTGGAAGTCTGGGAAGGATATAGAAATGTCCCGTTCTCCCTCCGGAACGGCCCGTTCTCCTTCCTGAACGACCCGTTCTCCTTCATTTTTGAAAGGCCAAATCAGTAGTTTGGAACGGCCCGTTCCAATTTGGGAACGGCCCGTTCTGGCTACTGATTTTTTTTTTTACTACGTTACACTTACAATGTGTGACATCCTAATGTATATTAATGTGTCATATATTATAGGTGCATTTTTTTTATAGATAAAAGCTTTTTCTCATGTTTCCTATTTTGTTGCCTCTTTTTCAACTTCATCTATCTTTCTTTTTCCTTGTTTCCTTTTTTTTTTCTTGCCTTTACTACGGTGTTTGTTCCACCATTAACATTCCTTCAAAGACTTCAAGTTTAACATTCCTTCTTATAGTTTTCATCTCCATTTTTCCACACCACTTTCCTTAATGAATTTACCCCAAAAGTTAGGGGGTTGTTTGATACAATCCTTGGATTAATATTAAAGTTGAAGGTCCATGTAATTAGGTAAAGTTCCAACATTTTTTCTCCAATGGTGATTTGGGGACTTTCTTTGATGGTGTCTTAACAATTGATAGTAGAGATGATGTAATGGAGATTAACTCTGGAACCCTCCCAAGAAAAGGAAGTTAGGGGTAGCTAGATTATAAGTGATGCTTTTTGAGGACACAAAGTTCACACACAACGTAAAATGACTACATAGGTGAAGAAATACCTTACTTCTAACTTGACCTCT